CACTAAGCAGAGAAAGAAATTTGACTCTTGGCAACTGAGGACGCCAAGGATCAATGCTTAAAGAAAAAAGATTTTTTGTTAATTATTTTGAGTGGTGTAAGTAACGTCTCTGCTTCCACAAATTATACAGAGTAAATCTAGAAGCATTAATTTTCCCGAGTTCTGTCTGTACTCAATATGTAGCTATCGTCTTCTTTCGTTACTGAGTTAGTTCATTAAACCTTCTCAAGGGTACAGATGGTCTGCTTTTTCAATTAGATTACAAGTTATTGGAGAAAAAAAAAAAAAGAAAAAAAAAAAAGCAAGTGAAATTTTCTCTGTAACTATGACTAATATTACCTGAATAGTTCATAGATACTGAAGCTTCTTCAAGACAAACATTTTTATTTTTCTTTTACACAAAAGAGTAGAAAAAGTAACTTTCATGAAATACATAATCCTTAGGCACTTGAGTGGCCTTGGTATTTCTCTTAATGGCAAAATCAGATGGAGACTAACAAAACAGTAGTTTAGAACTAAGTAAATCAGTTTAAAATAATGATTCATGTAGTACTGAAGCCTGTGCAAATTCCTTTTTTTTCCCTCAATAAATTGAAACACTGAAACAATCTCAAAAGAAATTGTTTATTATGTTGACTTATCATACCTACACTATCTTCCTGAAAAAATCTATTGTAAAGGGAAGTTGTGATAGAGGAGAGGAGAGGAGAGGAGAGGAGAGGAGAGGAGAGGAGAGGAGAGGAGAGGAGAGGAGAGGAGAGGAGAGGAGAGGAGAGGAGAGGAGAGGAGAGGAGAGGAGAGGAGAGGAGAGGAGAGGAGAGGAGAGGAGAGGAGAGGAGAGGAGAGGAGAGGAGAGGAGAGGAGAGGAGAGGAGAGGAGAGGAGAGGAGAGGAGAGGAGAGGAGAGGAGAGGAGAGGAGAGGAGAGGAGAGGAGAGGAGAGGAGAGGAGAGGAGAGGAGAGGAGAGGAGAGGAGAGGAGAGGAGAGGAGAGGAGAGGAGAGGAGAGGAGAGGCCTACAGGATTTGTGGTTAGATCATATTTCCTCAAATGATAATATGTGCAGGCGTGGGGCTGGATTTTTGTGTATGTGTTGTAGCCAATGCTATGGCTTATACATATTCTAAGTAGTTTGAGAGTTGTCGTGATTCTTGAAGGCAAAACATTCCCTCATTCTTTGTGTAAAGAGAAATGTTATACTCCATATGTACAAACACTTACAAAAGACTTGTTTACAAGCATCACACGTATATGAAACACAACAAAGTAATATATTGTATTAAGAAAATCACATTTGTTTTGCAGTATAAATGAATAGCAGATCAAAAGGTTCAAGATTACTCAACATTAGAATCAACAAATAAAACATGCATAATTTGAATAAGACAATGTTCAAATGAAAATGATAATCTACTAAACAGATAATTCACTGAATTATTTTATTATTTGATTTGATTTTATATAATAAGAATGCAGACTACAGACACAGATCCAAATTACTGATAACTAGCTTGAGTTGTTTCAGCTCACGCATGGGCTGTCAACATGTCTCTGAACTCATTTCACACTTGACCTCCTGGAGGGCAGTGGAGCTATATAGAAATATACACTATTCTCTCTAGTCCCTGACTTTGTTAAAAAGGAAAAAAAATGCATCAGAAAAATCTATATTGAATTAATACCCTAAAAGAAAAACCTTATCTCTGAAAGTCTTAAAAAAAAAAAAAAAAAAAAAAAAAAAAGGGAGAAAGGAAATAAATTCATGAATTGAAAGCTCTGCCTACCTAAAGGGTTATAGTACTTCTTAAGAGTAGTGCTCTGATGCATTAATAGTGGAGGCAGGAGCTCAGTTTAACTATCGCTGCAGCTTAAGGTATACAATTACATTCTTCAGCGTCGACATTTTCACCTTGATAAGCATAATAATGCCATGCAGATGCAGACTAAACCTCATAATTTCAGTACTCTGCTTCTACTCACGTTGATTATAATAAGGTATGGCACTGAAGCATGCACGATCCTGCATTTAATTGTCAGCATAGCCCTTCATTTAAACAAGAAGTTAGTTAACAGTGTGTTTCTATAGCAAATGTGGGAGGCATCTCAAATAGCTGTGGCTAAACAGAGAAAGATAAAAGTGCCAGTAAAAACACATGCAAAAAAAATCACGATGACAAATTTACTTCCAGTTTCTCAGTGGGTGTTGATGTAAATTCAGAACAAAATACAATATGTTTATATTTGTAGGTAAGAACATTACTTTTTTCTCTCCTTATTTTGAGCCAGAAAAAGTTTCCCTGCAGTTAGCATTACATCAATATAAAACACTAACTCAGAGAACAGTGAAGGGTGGATAGCATACATATTCATATAGCAGGACATGAAAAGTATCTGAGCATAATAAATTCAAATTGAAAAATTGACATATAATATTAAAATTAAGCTAGAAAAAAAAAAAAAACACACAAAAGATTGCATGGTACCTTCTTCTTACTAATTAACTTATGGGAGGAAGAGAACAACAACATATAGTAAATAGAAAACTTGATTTAAACTAGGACAGTAGTCATACATATACATTTATATATATGTATGTATATAAATTAATAGTTGAAAAATACATGATTTTTTTTAAAAAAAAGTAAAAGTGTCCACAGTACAGAAAATCACACCTGAAAGATATGATTTCTTGGATCTTTTAACTAGCCTTATGTTGGAATTCTTGAAAAAGCAGTACTTAAAAAAACAAACAAGCAAACAAACTCAAACTTGAAACAATCAGAATAGCCTAATTTACAACCACAACATAATTCTCTCTTATGTTGCCATAATGTCTTAGTAACACACTTAAATTCCTTCTGATCACATGAAAAGGAGAGATGAAACATAGTACTTTATGTTTGAGGTGAACTCAAAAATGCATCATTTTGAAAAGGAAGTTTTATCCTGGCTTGTTAAATACCATATTATACTTTCTGGAAGTAATTAACATGACTTTTCTTACATACATTCTGTCAGGTGATATATGTAAACTGTTGGAAAATTTGTGTGGCTGGTAGCACTTCCACTCAGCACCAAGAAGATACCTCGTGACTGACAGTGGAAAGACAGCATATGTCAGAAGGAGAGCTGAGAAGTTGGTGTGAGGTCTGGCATGAAATTGAGCAGGTTATGTGGTTGGCTCCCTGTCACACCATATTTTCTGTTAGCCAAAGTTAATGGCACCCCCAAACTCAGCTCATCAGTAGGTGACATGAGACAGACTGTTTTGTTTTGTTAAAAATTTCAGGATGGTGCTGTTAAGTTCTCTATGAGAAAGTGAAAACAAACTAAAAAGCAAACGCAAACCAATAAAAAAACAAAAAAAAAAAAAAAAAAACTGGGATATCCAGATAGCCTGACAAAATGCCTCTTCATTGATGTAGCAGCAAAGCTATACATTATTGTATGGGGCTATGTATAATATAAGCCTATACACAAGTAGGAATGATAATTAATTAACCTATGAGCTTGCAGTAAATGAAGGCTTCAAAGCAACTACTGTGGTAGATTTAAGAATACTTTTTGTCTCTTTCCAACTCAGTCTCAAACCTGATGGGTTCCAGCTCAAACCTCAGTTCATCAAGCTCAAACTCTATGGATTATGATTGAAGTGATTCATAAACATTTGATCACTCAGGATTTTGATAAAATAACTCTTTTTATCCTTTTATTTAGATGAAGTAGGAGCTCCCCAGCTTCAGTTAAATTTTGCAGACAAAGCAATAGAAAGGTATTTCGTGCAAAGTTTACCTAACAGTGCATGAAATTCATCAGTAGTGCTCAGAATCACTGCCCTGTATTCAGAGTCAGGCAGACTGGATCCTGTTACACAGAATAGCAAGAATCTGGTAATGTTTTCTTGCTTTAATAAAAACATATCTAAGTATCCTATGTAAGTCTGCTCTCTTCTGTTGAAGGGAGTTTGGGTGGAGAAATAAAAAAAAAAAAAAACCTACGAAAAACAGAATTGAGGAAAAGCTATTCATGAATCATCATTTTGCATAATAAAAAGTAACAAAGCTTCTGTAAAATATGAAAAAAAAAGTCTTTTTAAGAGACTATACTGATTTTATAGGTATAGCAAATAGTTATTTGGTCATACAAGTATGTAGCAACAGTGAAATCAACCTGAGTAAAATCCTGAATAAAAAAAAAAAAAATGAAAAAAAAAAGTGAATGCTGAAGTTTCTCATCAGCCAAAAAAAAAAAAAATAATCTTAAGCCAAATCCTATAAGATTTAATGTGGCAAGGAAAATAGAACGTGATTATCACTGACATGCAACAAATTATTTGACACTCGGACACTCAGTTATACATGCTTTACTTATACCCTGGGTCAGCTACACAGATCACAGACTAAACATTGCAGAGATGAACTTTGTTTTCCTGTCCCCCTTCCATTCCTTGTTCCCTTTTAGTCAGAGAGGACCAGAAGTTTCTATTAGTCTTGTTAGTTGCCAGTAGCACTGAAACTGGAAGTAGTGACCCAGGCCACCAATTTTCATATCTTTTTTTTTTAGCTATAACCCATGTTCCTGCTGTAGCAGGCCACAGGGGAAGGAGTGTACATGATGAATAAAAGACATTTGCCGTAGTAAATGCCTTGGAAGGTCTTTCCTCTGATGTATGTGCATCCTGGTTGACCAGACTGCAGAGGCAGCTGCAGCACAAAACAGCTGGTTAGCAAAATCTTGTCCTAATGGAGTAAAGTACTATGTTGATAGTAAAGCTTGCAATTAATTTAAAAAGTGCTATTAAGTGCTCATAGTTTTGAAGAGAAGTGTAGTGCAATTCAAATGTTGGGTGCTGTAAACTTCTTGAACTTTAATTAACCACTACATTCATATGGGGAAAAAAAAAAAAGGGGGGGGTATTTCTTTCATGGGAGAAAAAGTTGAATGTGTTTAGATGAATCGTTAATATCTGTCAGCAAATGATTACCAGATCTCAGAGGCAAACATAATCTAATTGGCCCTTAGCATTTAGAAGCAGTTTAGTGATTGGGAGGATACTGTACATATTATCTTATCTTAATAATTACATAGAATTTATATAACAAATTATATTGAAGGCAACATGCATAACCATTTATTATTCAGAAAGTGAGGTGAAATGAGACAACAGCTAATCTCCACAAGAAACAATGCCCCTTATACATTAATACTTATAAACTGAAGTAGTCAGACTAAATTCTGTCTAGCTTTGCCTCTATAAGCCAATTGGTGCCTCTGAGGTCACCCTGATATAACAAAAAAGAGAGGTTTTTGGAGAGTTCTTTTTCAGTAATTTAGTTACATCTGCATTCATTTTGCAACACATTTTGTATTGTCATTATGCTCAGAATTATATAAAAAATATATTTACTACTGAAGTTACTGATGTTACTATATGAAGTTACCTTTCAAAACTAATGACAAAATTAAAGTTGGAGGGGGAAGACACACAGCCACCTTCTCATCAAAATCTTTCTAAGATTTCTTAGCTGGATGCTGTAAAATCAGTATAGCACCATTATCATTATGCAACCATTTTCTATGCATTCTTCCTGTGACTGGTTGCTTCATTTTCTCATCAAGATTGCATCCTACTTCACTTCACTTCTGCTGTGACCACATTTTTCTGTGCTCTAATATGGATGAAATAAAAATACCTTTCCTGGGTGCATAGCTTTGTCTCTTTATTGTAATGGAGCCTAAATAATTTGTCTTGCTTAGATCAGCTAAACCATAAATTAACTCAAGTTGATGTGAAGCATACAAAACCTTTTTTTTTTTTTTATGTGTATATATATATATACACAATATATATATATATATATATATATTGTCATCTAGTAGCTAGGTAATATCTGCGTGTAGTATCCAACACTACAGAGTTGCTCAGATTCAGAGTTGCTCTTATTCAAGATTCTTAGCCTGCTCCTCTTAGGAGCTAGAATTCTATTTTCTTTTATATCATTCTTATTTGTGCTTCCCTTCCACATACAGATATAGGTCTTCATCTGTAAATATACAAGCTCCACAGAAAAATTATGTTCTTACAGTACTTGGCAGGGGGAAGCCTTTTGGCAATGCCCCAATCATGAAATTCTTTAAAACTCTCACTGTTTTAGATTTTGCCCTCACAAGCCTGAAGTGACTTTTTTAAAATCTAGGCATTAGGAGATCATACTCCAGCGTCCTTTAGACATACAGCTTATATGAGATCAGTCTGAATTGCAGATCCACATGTGACATAGATTTGTTAATTTTAGATGTGGTATTCCCAAATGGTTCTTTCATTGCTGCCAATGCACAGAAATTGGCCTAATTTTCTTCTCATTGGTTCCACGGTAACAGAATACAATCTTCATTGACATACATGCATAACGAAAACATAAATAAGATCAGTATTAGACCAACTGCTTCTTTCACGGTGCAAAGAAATGCATTTCTATTCGAATGTAGAAAACAAAAAAGTTGAATCCATAATTCTTCTTTTCATTCAAAGATTATTTCCACATAATATTAATTGTAAAGGTGGTGTCCCTGGGGAAAAGAAAGAAAAAAAAAAATATTTGAGTTCATATGGGTTCCAGGAAGTAAGGGACCCGTATAGAAATGTGTCTCAATATTGTCATAATAGAGTCTTAATTCACTAATAGTAAATTCACTTAATAGTGAATTAAGTAAATCAGAAAATGGAAATCATAGATGTAATCTTTTGAACACAAAACTATGAACTAATACTTAAGATCAAATATCATCTGATATAGATTTGATTATGATCTTATTTTAAGAAATTAAGAAAATTAATCAAAAAGTATTGTAAAAATAGTATGAATACAGAATTATTTTGTTTGCTTGTTTCTAGTTCTTTTATTTTTTCTCACTTTATAAACAGCTTTTAAATGTCTTATTTTTTCTTGCATAGTTCTGCAGTTACTTACCTATGGTAAGTAACTATATTATGTAAATATAAATTCATCTACAGAGCATGCTGTACATTCTGTAATTAATATTTGTGGAAAAAAATCTAATAAATGTTCAAAGTAAAGTTAACATTCATTATGGAGAAAAATTATTTGCTAGTTTTATTTGCACACAAGTACTTGTTGGGATGTACAGTTGCATACAAGCAATAATAACTGTTCATAAAATTAAGAAAACTTTACCTCATAACATGTTTTGCTAAGGAAGATAACACATTGCTTTTGAAAAAAGTCTTATTTTATTGTGAGATTACTGAGAGTACCCATTGGTAAAATTAAGAGATTGCTAATGAAATACCATACCCTGACTTCCTCTTCCTCTGCTTCAGGTCTGTATCTTCTTGTTTAGGCCTGGAAACAAAGAAACTATATCAGTAATAGTTTTCAGCAGTAACAAATCACTTTCTTGTGTTACCCGACCCTGTTTTTCCTGAATACTTTCAACTTGCAAGTTCCATCCCTGATTTGGGTAAAGACATCTGGAATGAAAATAAATCTGGTTTTGAGTATATGTAGTTAGTGGTTATTTGCATTAGAGAAATATAAGAGAGAGGAAAATTAGTAAATTAAGCACCCAGGTACATAAACACTGATGAGGATCAGAGACACCAGCAGAAACAACTCTCAGGTCACTTGACCAGTGAGTCTCTGAAGTTGCTCAGAGGCTAGGAGAGGTCCAGCCAGAGCTGTCTAAATGATAAGGCATAAATAAAATTATCATGGGTCACCTGAGAAAAAGCAAGCTTAACACAGGATGTTTAGAGCAGATTATGGGAATGTGCAAAACTTATTATGGGAAGTTTAAGGAGAAGGGCTGAAGGAACAAAGTGGACCATGGAGGACTAGGTGTCTGAAGATGAACATTAAGAAGAAAACTTCCCTGGGGAGGGAGCGCAGCACAGAAGGGGCTTACCTAGAGGATTTGAATTATCTCCATCCCTGAAGATTTGGGAAGACAGAGCCAACCAAGGCTTTCCTGAGCTACTATTTTATTATTTACTCAAAATATATCATAAACATGAAATCCCAAAACATTGAGTTCCTGAAAAATAATCAATAATGTTTCTTTCTCAAAACCTTGTAAAACATTTCATAAACATTAAAACATACTACTTTGAAGAAAAATAGGTCAACTGCAATACTGTTGCAATATGTAAGAAATTGAGTGAGGTATCTTAATCTCTCTCTCTCTCTTTTTTTTTTTTTTTTTTTTCCTTTTACACAGAGTCAGTACTGTCTTAATCCAAAGGAAATGTGTTGAAATGGATGTTTGTCATTGCTTCCCAAGGCCCACTAGGCTCTTGATATGTAGTTCATAATTTTTTAGAGTAGAAGGGATAAAATCAAAACTGGAGTGAGTCACAAATCTTAATTGAATTCTTTTAATGGCATAATTTTCAACAGTGATTATTTCATGCTTTCAAATTAATTTGAATATAGCTGAGTTTAGGCTGCTACTTTAATCCTCTTTACATTCATTTTTTGAGCACATTTGTGATTATGGTACAAATATACCAAAGAGATGTGAGTGTTCTTTTTTTTCCTTATTAAATGTGTGATTGTTTGATTCCTCCATCAATCAATAAGTGTGCCAAGTCTCCTGTTAGGCTAGTTCAGAACCTTTCCCCCTTCCCCCGGGTTATTTTGATAAGGAGAAAAATGTTATCCAACTGTGTTTGTAGGAGAAGGGAAAATAAAAATGAAATATCTTATATGATTTTGAAATAATTTTGTTACTGACTGAATTCCAAGTATTGTTTAAATAACTCAAATGTTTGTATCTACTTCCAGATGTAAGCATGTGAATACTGCTGAGTGAATGAACTCTTAGTATGAAGTGCTTTGGGTCCACAGATAATAATAGTTGATAACACTCCAGTCCTTCTGATGGCATCTTTAGTGGCAGTATTTTATACTGAAATATAAATATTTCTCAAGAATATTCAGTTTAATCTTTGTAAAATGTTTTCATGTCAGCACATAATAGAGACACAGAGAACAATTTTATTTTTTTTTACCTAGAGAAAATTGACACACATCTTACTACTTTTCACTTAGTTCATTAAACTTATGAGTAAATGAAATAAAAAAAAAAAAAAAAAAAAAAAGAGTTTAAGGTAAGATTCATCTCATCTTCTCATCTTACAATACACAGCTAAATTCTGTCAGATGATCTGCACCCTTAAAATGTCTCCACTGACTATGAATTAATTTGACAGTGACAAACTTAGTTGCAAAGTCTGCAGTGCCGACAGCTAAACATAGGTGAGATTAATCCATCCCCAAGCCACAAATTTTGCCAATAAGTCTCTGTATCACTTTGTTTTGGATGATCTCTTTTATTGAATGTGGAGACCAGAAAGCACAATTGCAGTTAAAATGGATGCGTACGTAATTATGCATTGATAAAACACACAGCAGTGCATAGTCATGAGTGTCATACCAGTCTAGGCATTCATACGCTCCCCCCACTGCCCCAGTAGAGGCCCCAGGCAAGTGCTTCCCAGGAACACAGGTTGATCCTCCACCTTGGTGAGCAGCCATCTCCTTCCCCTCTGTATCTGCTCTTAATGGTCTTATTTTTCATTGTATCTGTGCATTTCTTCTCTCAAACTTTGATGAATTTATGTTGATGTTTTAACCCATTCCTAAACCAGCACCTCTCTTTTATTAAAACTGCAACACCTAGAACTGACTTTGGGACAGAATAAGGAAGAATTGGTAAAGCGTTCTTATTTCAGCATTTGTTTTACCCTGAGAAATACACTGAGTGTTTTTTTTTTTATTTTGTTTGTTTGTTTGTTTTAAGTCTAATTAACTGCTCTGTACACATCTCAGGATTCACAACTTTCCTTTTTCTCTTCTCTAAACACTGCTGCTGTCTCTGACTTAGTAGATCTCCATAAGAATGAAATGGTGACCTTTTAGTTACTTCCCAAATAACATCAATTTTTGACATTCTAAACCTTGGCCTATTGTACTATATCTGTACTATTGTACTATATCTGTACTAGCTCTTTGACCTAGTTTCTTGTTTATTGTAGCAAAATTATTAGAACTGTTCACTAACCAGACAGTTAACACCATTTCATATTTTTTTTCCCAGATATTAAGATTGCTTGCAAAAGAATTAGGCTAAAATTAAATTGTAGCAACTCAATTTTTGCTTCTAGTCATTTGGGAGTTGTTTTTTCTTTGATAATTCATTAAGAATTAAATTATATTTATTTGTTCAAAACATCCCACTGGCCTTTAATATCTTGAAAGATATTAATAATTTAATATCTTACCCTCACCTCCAGAGAACTGGGTCTAATTTAGTGTGAATTTTTCCTGCTTTTCTCTAAACCCTGGAAGATATGATCACATTCTTCTTCCCATTTTTCTTTCTCATTGAAGCTGAGCTTTGGTTTTGGAGAAGGGTCTTCCACAAAACTGCTTATACAGAAAACAAATGCGCACAACAGTAACTGATAAATCTTGGAAGGATTTGGGTAAATCAGATATTCAATATGTGCTTCAATGCTTTTTCTGTTAATTAACACAGTTCTCAGATAATTTAAACTTCCATATCAAAGGCTTCTGGCCTCTGCTCCAGTGCATTAGTCATTTATGAAACTTGGATAAAGATATATGTTCAGACTTTAAAACAGGCCGAGATTAAGACTGTTCTTGTCATTGAGTTATTTTTTGTTTTGCTTTGTTGTTTTGTTTTCAAAAGGCATAATTTTCCAGATATCATTTACAGATTGAGAAAGAAAAAGCATAATTTTCCAGATATCATTTACAGATTGAGAAAGATATTCAAGATTATATAATATGCATATCCAGGCATTTCTATTTTTGAAAACATTTATTTAACTTTAAACCTATAATCTTTTTATAGTCAGGACCATGAAAACTTACCTCCTCCCAGTAGTTGTTCTTGATGTTCCTTTTTTTGTTGTTGTTGTTTCGTTTTTATTCTCTCAACTTTGTAATCTAAATGCTACTTTCTCTTCCCCTCCATCTTCATTTTTGCTTTTTCTTTCAATCAGCTACATTTCTCCCATGGCCTCATGGAAAGCACTCTTTATCCTGTACTGAAATTTACTTTTTAGCTTTTCAATGGAAGCATTAATTTCAACTTGCATGTTGGCACTACCACTTTTTTTTTTTTTTTTTTCATACTAGCAAATACTTAAATGGTCACCATCCATTTATACTGACACTCAGTCACCATGTATTTTCTGGGAGAGAACAAATTCGTCCTTGTTTTCCTACTCAGGAACAACCAGGGGCTGCTAAGTCAGTCTTTCTCCTGTGACAACGGTATAAACCAGAGCCCCCTGTGCTGGAGTTGCAGTTGGTTACTTATGGCAGAAATTCCAGTTTAGGACCTGTCTGATGTTTTACTTCTGGAGCTCACCACCAAAACCATTGATGGTAGCTTGCCCATTTCATTGCTAAGCCAGCCAGGCCAGTTTAATGTGATATATGATGTTAGTGCTGTGTTTTCTCTTAAGAAACCAGCAGCATGTGAAGTATGAATTTGTTCCTCCAGCTGTGTTTAAAGATCTTTAAAGTACAGTAGAGGTTCCAGCATTTTACCGGAGTCTGTAAATTAGAATCGTTATTTCTATTATAGGTTAATGTGTCTTTAATGAGGAAGGATTCCATCTGTAAATTTACCACAGCTTATTCAAGATAAAGCAGCAAAATAAATAAAACATTTATTTATTTACTTATTTTTTTTTTAATACATCAGTTTAAAAGCTAGGCAAATTTTATTTTGGTAAAAGTTGGAAAAGAACTGTCACCTTCCTCATCTTGTTTTGCATTATTATGCCTATACAAATAATAATTTGATTGATTACTAACGCATTATTTCTGACCTCCACAGTAACTACAAAAATGCCCCTCAGAAGAAAAAACATCCACTACATCAGACACTAACATCTGAAACACATAAAAATATAGGTATATCCACTGCAGCTTTCAGAATTAAAAACAAAAAAACTAAAAAAAAAACAAAAAAAAACAAAAAAAAAAAAACAACACTATTTGATTCACTAGTGGAGATTTTTTTTTTTAATATACTACAAAGAAAAGCAAAGTCCATAAATATTTTGACTTAGCAAAGCTGAAATAATATTCAACACATCATATATGTAGTTAAAACATTATACCAGGCAAAACATATCAGCAAAATTCAGGAAAAAATATTAGGCTATGCACTTTTTTCATGTATATTACCTCATATTTTCTAGGACCAACAAGCACACTCCCACCACTGCCCTCTCCATCTTCCTTCTTCTCCCTATTTCCCTTCCTTCCTCCACCTACTCCCACCTCACTTTTCTTCTGACATGTGCAGTAACTCCCTCGAGCAATTTTCACTTTAGATTTGTTAACAAGCACTTAACAGCTCCCTCTGAAAAGGTGAAGAAACAAAATCATTCACCGTACTGCTAGATAGGAGAATTGCAGGTAGTTTAGGAGAATAAACCTAAAAAATGGAGTCACAGTACCTGTCATAATTAGAGGCAATACTGACTGACTGCTATTTGGCTTGCTAAGCAGAAGGTAGGGGCCGTCTTGCCTGTTGCAGGTATACCAGGTTTCTGCACACCAGCTGGAACAATCCTTAAGAAAGTAAATAATTGTGTCTGTAAGGTTATTTCAGAACTTTAAATGCAAAGATTTAAAATCTCTCATGTGAGCACATATGGAGACAATGCTGTCACTGCAAAGGTTGCCATTAGAAACAGATTGAGCCCGATAATCAGACTGGACTACTAATGGCTACAAGTACACTTTGCCTAACCAGTACTGGCAGGATGCTTTCCTTACAGTGATAAATGTACAAGCTGTGACTTGCATTTCATTTCCAGCCTTGGCAGGCTAAAATAATCTCTTAATGAATGAAGACATCTTTAAGCATGCAGCTGTATGCCAACAGCAGTTGGTAATCCTCCATATCCATCTTATTTCATTCCATTTACAATTCCACAAATAATCAAGCTACGAATAAACTACTGATGCTTGGCCAGCAATACTGATGTGACCTTAGAAAGTGTTTGAAACCTGCAAAAAAGCAAAATACGCTTGTCACTGGTATTGCTTACATTTTCACTTCAACATGCAGACAAGCAGTGCATTTGAAAGTCATTCTGAAATTAAACTGCATCAAACTCAATAAAAACTTTTATTTTTAAACATAGCGTGCAAAAAAGCTGTTTGGAAATGGCTATTAAAAGTAACATTCAGTATGAAATGTTTCTGCAGCTCACTTGTTTGGTATAGCATACAATGAAGTCAGCAACAGAGTACATAAAAAACAAAAACATAAATCCCAGAGATTTACTTTATCATGATATTGCCATTAAAAAGACAATTCTACAGAAAGCTGGAAAACTTTGGCTGTATAATTCTCAATAATAAAGGTAAAACTGTTTCTTATTTAGTGTTAAGGAGTGCAAATCAGAGCAAATAAAAGTATACTAAATTTCAGTACTCAGTCACCCTCTGCATAATATACCTTCTCTGTTAGGTGCATATAGTTACTATGGGCAACAATAAAAAAATTTTCCCATTCTTTCTTTTGCTTTGAAGGAACTGAGCTGCTGCCAGAAATTAAGAAGTCATCTGTTTTGTGACTAGAGGAAACAGTTTAGTAATAATTGTTGCCACTTCTCACCTTTCAGCACAATTCAGTTTCAATAACTTTGTTAGAGTTTATTATTTATCCTTTTTTATAATTCAGTCAATTCAATGATGAACAGTAAAGAATTATTGATTCCTTTTTTTCCCTAAATCTTTATGATCTCCTTTGAGATTTCTACAATGCTACATTGACCGAAGTGTTTTAATATTCACACTGTAGTATTTAATTTAACTGAATTACTTGGAGTAGCTAAAGAACTATGGTACAAAACAAACAAACAAACAAAAAAACATATAACATGAAGAGAATGCTTTCAACACATATCTGACAATTTGCAATGAGAAAATTTCCTTACCTCTTCAAACTTCAGTGAAATAGCAGCTTTACAGCAAATGAACACTTAGTACTAAAAAGTCAATATTTCAGTCAAACTGTGTACTTGAATTTAAAATTTGTTTGGAAGTAGATTTTTACCTTTGTTATAAAAGCACAATGTAAGTTAAGAACTTTTAAAAACACTTATTACCATATCAAACCACTTAGAGGTCATATAAGTCACATACATCCTGCAAATTTGAAATTTGAAAATACAGTTTGGTACTTATTGTGTTATAATACTGTATTTATCATTTTCAAGATGAGCAGTGTGTAAGTCAGTATGATTAAGTGTTTACTTAGGCTGTCAGTTAAAATAATTAAGCCCACAATGAAACAAAGTCTACCAAATTGTTTACTAAATTACTTGATGTAGCTCTGACTAATCTTTATTGCAGTTCTTGTAAATAACAATATTATAATTGTAATAAATTTTAATTATTGGCAGGTAACTAATTACTACTTACTAGCAAAAAGATATATAAAAGTCTATATTCAAAAATGGTTTTAGCTTCCATGGGGTAATCACACAAAGATTTAATTGTCCTTAATTTCCTAGGCTACTATATATATGTGTGTATGTGTGTGTGTAAAAGTATATATGTGTGTATAAAAGTATATTAATGTCATGCCCATCTCTTAATGCTTTCTTCACATAGCTTGCTGTGGTGGAGGGTGGTATTTGGACATGAAGTGTGGAACAAGAGCAGCAGGGGTGATTGCTCCCCAGCACTGATGTGGAGGTGTGCAGATCAGTGCTGTCTAGGGCACTGTGCATGGTCTGAGCCTTTGCTAGGTCCCACTCTGACCACAGCTGCTTGGCTCCTGACTGCCAGAGGCGGAAGAGGAATGCTAATGCAGGCTCCCGCACTTCACTGTTGGGTAATTTCACTTTGCTGCTCCATTTCCCTCCTCCACCCACAAAGCTACTCTGCTCCCAGCCAGCCACCGCAGCTGTAAAAGTAACAAGACCTCTGACGTGTTATCCCCACAGCGCTTCAACAGACCTCATTACCGTCACACTTTGATGCATCATTTGAAGCATCTGGAGGTAAGGGAGATATGAAAAAGCCTTGGGCATGAAGGCAACAGGTAGGAGGGTGATATAAATGCTGCAAGCCACTTGAGGAAAATCTGCAGAAGCAGGGGTAACTAAGCTAATACGGAAATACAGAAATACAATTTATGCAAATACAAACAGACATATTTTTTGAAGGTTACAGTCAGTTGACAAAAGAGTTGTTAGACCCTATATGTCTTTTGTTCATGAAATTCAATAAATCTTCACAAATTTCTTATCCGTTAGCCTGTTTTTTCCCTTCAGACTCACAGCAAGTATTAGAATTTTTCCCAACTTCTTTCTCTTCCCAATTTTCTGTTAGATAAAAATATGATACCCAAAATCAGTAAAAATACATTTATGATACCCAACATCAGTAAAAATATGACTAGCTTTATTTATCCCATGCTTTCTCACTTGCCAGAAAATCTGTAACTTTTCTAAAAACTTGTTTTAACTTTTAGATTGATAGAGAGTCTTATGGATGAATCTACTTTGTCCACTAGATAAGTAATAAAATTTGGATCTTCTCCACTTCACCTGTTTAGGATAAGATTTTTGATCAGTTCTCATAATGGAAAAAAAAATCCATAACTGGAAGTTTAGGCTTGATAAAGCTGTGTTTTTGTATCTTAGCAGAGAATCAGGTTCACTGGAAAAGTAAGGAGCTATCATGGCACTGCTCCCAACTATAGTCAATGCCATTAGCTGTTAATTTATCCAGAACTGCTTTTTTTTAAAAAAAAAATATACGTACACACACACACACACGTATAAGTCCTCCACTAAAACACATCACTAAGTTTAGATGTTGAACTTGGTGATATGGTTTAGTGGAGGACTTGTTAGTGTTAAGTCAGAGGTTGGACTCAATGATCTTGAGGTCTCTTCCAGCCTAGACAATTCTGTGATTCTGTGATATGTATATAAGGCTGTTTGGTTCTTTCTCTCTCTCATTATGTCCGGATACTTTCCTGTTTCTCTTAGCCAGGTGTGAGATGTAACAAAACCACTGATTCATTATGCTGTTGAGAAGATGCATTCTGCTGCATTCAATGACAAAGTTTTAATCTAGATTCCTGGAGTTACTGAGGAGATACTAATGGAGAGAGAAGAGGAGACAGAGGGAAGGACAGAAGGGGGAGAGAGAGAGAGACAGAGGTCACTAGGATGTAGAAAACAATTAATGGCAACCAATAGGAATCATAGCAACAATAAAAGTTTGGCAAAATATATGTTTAAGTGGGAGTTATTCAAAGGAAATGCATATACCGCTTAAAATTTTTGGTGCATAGCTCTGACAGTAACTGTATAAATATTTATTTTGTCCTATAAAAGAGAAAGCTAGGAATTTGTTCCTATAAAGCTTCTGCAACTTACTGATAAAATGCTGTCCATCAAAAGGCTTGATGACGCAAATATATCATTTCACTAGTGAGCTATTAACAACACAGATTGATTAGAGCAAAAGTATGGGAAGATAGCTTTTCTTCATTCTGTACAATTATATATGACTGAAAAAGTGAAAGGAGTTTGAAAAAGACTTTTGCCTTAAACTACCTTGAAACAATCTTAAAATGGATCACTCAGTCAGTTTGTTTAATTTCTATGAACCTGCTATGTTGACCTCAGTCTCTTTGTACCTTTCTTCCTGTAACAAAAGGAAGAGATGAATTAAGTTTATTTAATGCAATTTTTAACAGTTTCTATAAGATGAAGTATGTGTTCTTAGTGCTCATACTTCATGAAAAGGACACCTTCTCTTAATTTGTTCACTTTTCTTCATATAATAATAGGTAATGGATCAAGAAGACTGCTAGCTGACGGCAATTCTGTGAAAGCACCTGAACTTCTCCTTTCTGAGGGGGTAGAAGATGCACAACTATTCCTGTCACAGGCATAGCCTCAAAGAAGATAGCAAATGCCAGAGACAGCACTTGTCCCGACTTCATTCAAATTTGAAAAATAAATAAATAAATGTTTGAAGACTACCTCATTATTCTAGTGTCATATTACATATTCAGGCCCAAGCCTTACTTCTACATTCTGGGGTGAGTTATTGTAGTGCACTCCACTGTAAATGAATAACTAGTGGGGTGTTGGACAGAAATATTGCTGTCTGCATTAAATTTTGGATGTATAAAACTGGTGTTAATATCTATCTACATTGTGTTAGACATGAGGACAGGTAAATCTTTTGTATTATTAAGCTGATAAAGATTGAAGTGAATTACTGCAGAACTCTTCTATCTTGAGCCATTTTAAAGAACAGATTAAACAAACATCTGTCCACGCAGACACAAACATGGCTGATGCTATTTTTTGTCAGGAGAGTAGAGTAGATGACTTCCCAAGAATTATTCCAATTTTTATTTATTTGTATTTTGTCGTTGTTTGTTTTACTCCAAAGTGCTGTTTTTGTGGCTTTTGTCCAAGTGTAACATCAATACATGGCTTTGCATATTTCTGACCTTTTGGGCAGAATGAACATTAGGAAGTCAACTTTTGTTAATAAATAATTTTTTCTCTTAAGAAAATTCTTCC